CACACACACACACACACACACACACACACACACACACACTAACATCACTGATTTGTTTCTCGCAGGAAAATCTGCCTTCTGTGTAACCGGACGACTTGCTCCACAGATATTGAGGTAAAAAAGTGGCCTTTGGTTCAGTCTTTCAGGATTACCATAAAATCAGTGATGGCTGAATGGGTTTATCCATGTGTGTGTGTGTGTAGGTTGCGCTGCAGGTGTTGGACGCGGTGGTGTGTTATAACTGCCTGCCCTCTGACTCTCTGACGGTGTTCATCATCACACTGTGCCGAACCGTTAACGTGAAGGAGTTCTGTGAATTCTGCTGGAAGGTACACCCAGAAAATATTCAATTGAGTTTAATATATCACATCATGTATTGATGGTGCAGCTCATAAGCATGCGTTGACCTCTCTGTTGTTGTTTTTCTTTGGTTGTGTCTCTAGTTGATGCGTAAAGTGTTGGGGACTCACCTGGGTCACAGTGCCATATACACCATGTGCCGTGTCATGGAGGAGAGGTACTCACTGACTGACTTGTGTTTCAGTAGCAGTCCACATAAGTCAGTTTTGCTCTGAAGCAGTTATGAACATTACAGTAGTCTCCTGAAGAGCACAAAGACAGATTTGTGACTGGTCAGAGAGTCAGTAAGCTATAATAAAATACATTATGTGCACTTTCTTGGTTTAGTTAGTTAGTTTAGTTCTTTAGTTTAGTTTAGTTGTAAGTGGCAATAGTCTAATAAATAATGTGTGACTCTTAATTTCACAGTTTTTCATGCTTTTTGTTTAATTTCAGTAGTTAAATTTTTATTCTGTATTTTTTTTCTATATTATTTGTTCCTTTTGTTCTTTACTCTCTAGTTTTTATTTACTAAGAACTACTTAGAAATGCCCTATATAAATAAAAATGTATGTTGTTAATAATAATAATAATAACAATACAATATCGTTATAAAAAAAACTCATAAATTCATAAATATATTTATTATTATTATTATCTTAATAAATATACACTTTTATAAATACATCAAATATATATTATTTTTATATTCTTCTTCTTCATAATAATAATAATAACAATACTTGTTTACTTGATAAAAATAAAATAGTTATTGTTTTTATATTTTAAAATAGGTAGATTTTCACTAGCAATTTTTTTACTTGATATAATTGTAGTTATTATTATTATAATAATAATACT